GATAGCATTTTCCTCCCAAAGAAGGCTGTTTCATCTACACTGAAAATCTGTTATTTAGTGTAGCCACTTTTATTATCTTATCTATAGACCTTCTGGAGAACTTGCTGCAACTCCTGCATCAGCACTTGCTGCTTCACTTTGCACTTTGATGTTACTGAGATGGAGTCTTTCCTTAAACCTCCTTAAACCTCTGCTAGCTTCAGACTCTTCTTCGGCAGCTTCCTCACCTCTTTCACTGTTCCTAGAACTGAAGAGAGTTAGGGCCTGGCTATGGATCAGGCTTTGGCCTAAGGGAATGTTGTGGCTGCTTTGGTCTTCTATCCAGACAACTAAAACTGTCTCTGTGTCAGCAATAAGGCTATTCTGCTTTTTTATCATTCATGTGTTCACTGGAGTAGCGCTTTTAATTTCCTTCAAGAACTTTTCCTTTGTAGTGACTACTTGGCCAACTTTCAGCCTATCTGGGCTTTCGACATACCTTCCTCACTAAGCTTAATTATTTCTAGCTTTTGATTTAAAGTGAGGGATGTGGGACTCTTCCTTTCACTTGAACACTTAGAGACCATTAATTAGCCTAATTTCAGCATTGCCTCAGAAAACAGGGAGGCCCGAGAAGAGGGAGAGAGATGGGGGAATGGCCAGTGAGTGGAGCAGTCAGAACACACACACCATCCTATATGGACACAGTTCATGATGCCCCAAAACAATCACAATAATCACATCAAAGATCACTGATCACAGATCACTATAACAAATATAATGATAAGGAAACATTTTGAAATAGTGCGAGAATTATGAAAATGTGACACAAAGACAGGAAGTACGGAAATGCTGCTAGAAAAATGGCACCAATAGACTTGCTCAATGCAGGTTTGCCACAAACGTCAATTTGTAAAAGACACAAAGTCTGTCAAGTGCAGAAAAGGGAGGTGCGGTAAAACGAGGTCTGCCTGAATGCAAGTCTAGTCATCTTCTACTCAGCCAGACATTAAAGTGATGGGCAAAAATGTAAAACAGTGCCTTTCTTCAAAAAAAAAAAAAAAAAAAAAAAAAAGTCTTTGCTTTGAAAAATATAGTACTTTCCATAAAAAAGTACTATTTTTGTTAACAGGTGATGGGTTTATTTTTTAAAATTAACTAATAACTAATAATTTTTAAGAGTATAAAGGAAAACAAAGACCAAAGAATTTGAGGAAGGCTGCATTAAGAAACAAAAAGGTAAGACTGTTATAGAGTCCTTGGAAAGAGAGGGCTCACAGCCCCAATCCCTGGCCCTTCTGCTCATAGCTTTTGGTGTCACTTGAGAGATTAGTTAGTAACTTAAAAGTATTCCAGTATTCTTCACTTATGCAAAAATATGTCTGCCAGCATATACTTATATTTCAAAACCTGGCTAATTTACACTAATTTATGTGTATCACATGTTCAGTAATAGCATTTCACCAAACTATGCTAGAAGAACTGTTATCAAAATGCCACCCAGTGGCGCAGTGGTTGAGAGTCCGCCTGCCGATGCAGGGGATACGGGTTCGTATCCTCCCCGGTCCGGGAGGATCCCACATGCCGCGGAGCGGCTGGGCCCGTGAGCCATGGCCGCTGAGCTTGCGCGTCCGGCAACGGGAAAAGGCCACGACAGTGAGAGGCCCACATATCGCAAAAAAAAAAAAAAAAAAAAATGCCACCCAGAATAAAACAGCTTTACATAATAAATTAAATTTTTAATTAGCCTATCAATTTTCATGTTTAAGGTACTTCAAAGTTGCTTGCAAGCCACTGGTTTTGTATCTGAAGCATTGCCTCAGAAATCTTTCTCACACTATCATTTTTCACCTGACTCAAGAGAGGGGACAAGTAAACATTAGCCTCATTCTGGGCTATGATCTCAGGTTGTGAAGCAGGAGAATCTAAATTATCATTTTTTTATTTTATCTAAGGCAACGATGATTGAAAGGTTTACCATTATTTTATATAACAAAACAAATAAGCAGAAAGAAACAGCCCAAATGATCTCCTTATAAAGCTGGAATGCCAAAGGGCTACAAGGTAAATAAAACACCAAACCACCCACCAGAAATGGTCTTCAAGGGAAGATGCATGTCTCAATCTGGGTCAGGGGAGGAAGCAAAAAGTTCTCTCTAAGAATCTGACCCACAGTCCTTGCTTTGGTTAGAGTTTCAATTGATAAGATCTATGCGGTCAAAGACCTAAAGCAGAGAATGTAGATAGTACCCTCCCAGGTGACTTAACAGGAGAAAATACAAACTGTCTTGCCATTGATTATAAGAGGAGAGTCAATTTCAGCAGTGTCAAAATGTGGAAAAACAACAACAACAAAAATGTGTGTCTTAGAAACAATGAAATACAGTAACTAGAACTGACTGGTTTATAAGAAATGATTAAATATTGCTTACACAGGATTAATTTGTACGATGTCATACCTTATACACCATACTAATATACATACTTTTATTTAGTCTAGCAAGTACTATGCAAGGGGAAATAGAAGAAAAAATATATGTAATAATGGGCAAAGTTATCCAATATTCTTGGTGTGTCTACTTCTAAGACCATAATCACAGAGTAAAAATTAACATGCTTATCTCAAAACCAAGATATCTGATAAGTGTATTTTCAGTTCATGCCATTTGTTTTTCTGATTTCTTTCTTCTGATATGTATCTGCATACTTGGAATATGTTTTTATTGGTCACAGATAAATGTATGATGGTCCCTTGATTTTCATATTCAACAAGAAAACCTATAGCCCTTAAAAAGCAACTTTTGAAAACAAAGATTAAGAATATACTTTAGGGCTTCCCTGGTGGCGCAGTGGTTGAGAGTCCGCCTGCCGATGCAGGGGACAC